TCGCTCTCTTCCCCTGGCTGGAGGGCAGTGGCATGATCTCGGCTCACTGCAAGCTCCGCCTCCCGGGTTCCTGCCATTCTCCTGCCTCAGCCTCCCAAGTAGCTGGGACTACAGGCACCCGCCACCGCGCCTGGCTAATTTTTTGTATTTTTAGTAGAGACGGGGTTTCACCGTGGTCTCGATCTCCTGACCTTGTGATCCGCCCGCCTCGGCCTCCCAAAGTGCTGGGATTACAGACGTGAGCCACCGCGCCCGGCCGATGAATGGATTTACGTTAATAAGATCTTGAAAGAGCTGACTGCCCAACCACTCTCTTCCCGGTCTGTCTCATACCCACTCCAGGAAAGCCTCCTTCCTCACCATGGAATCAATGGTAAGTTTTCAGATTTCATTTCAAACCTGTCTTATCAACAGCATTTGTGCCGTGAACCATCCCTTGCTTTCCACACGTTTTCCTCGCATGGCTTTTAGGATGCCACATTTTCCCGGATTTCCTCCTCCCTTAGAGGACGCTGCTTTCAGTCTCCTCGGCTGCTTCTTCCTCTTAATGCTGAGATTCACTCAGGCTCAACTCTTGGTCCTCCCCTTTTCTCCGTCCACCCCCCTGGTGATCTCACTCTGTCTCATGGCCACAAAACCCATCGACAAGCCAATGGCTCATATCTCCAACCAGGACCTTTCCCCGGGAGGTACAGGTTCTCACATCCAAATGCTTACTTGACCACTTCATGTGGGTGTCTAAGAAATGCCTCAAACTTCCTGTTTCCCAAATGGAACCTTTGAAGTTTCCACCAACCTGCTCCACCCACAGCTGTCCAGTCTCAGCTGAAGGCAACGCTATCTTCCAGTTGGAGTCAACCTTGACTTTTCTCTTCCTCACATCCCACATGCAATCTGCCAGGAAGTCCTGTTTGCTTGACTTTCAAAATACATTCTCAGAGTCTGATTTCTCACCACCTCCTCTGCTGCCCCCTGCTTTGAGCCCCCATCATTTCTCACCTAAAGGACTGCAGTAATTACCTAACTGGTTTGCCTGATCTCCTTCTTGCCCCACTATGGTACGTTTTTCACTGAGTTGCCAGAATGATTTTGTTAAAATATAACGGAAATAATAATGGTGGCAGCCTCAACATCCTCCAGTGGCCGCCATTATTATTGAGAGTAAATGTCAAAATCCTTGCAATGGCTCACAAGGCCTCCAAGGCCGGGTCTTTCTTACCTCTGACTTCACTTCCTATCACTCTCACCTCACTTACTTCCTCTCCCTCCCTCAGGCTTCCTTCTGGTCCTCCCACAGCCCCAGAGTGATCAACCTCAAAGCCTTTACATAAGACATTCCCTCTGCCTGGAATATTCTTCGCCCTTCAAAGCTGTTCTGTCTTTTCAGTGAGGTCTATTGATTGAGTTACCATACCTGACATGATATCTGGTCTCCACAACTCAGCTTTGCATGGCATAACTCAATTTCCATAATCTTCTAATATATGTAATTTACTCAAGTTCTTATTAATGTTTGCTCCTCCTGCCACACACAGACAAATTTTAAGCAGGAATGGTTTCAAATCCAACTCTGTCACTAGAACAGACTGGACATAGGTTAGGCACCCAATAAATATTTGTTGAATAAATAGCAGTGACAGGATCTCAAATCTTAACTTTTGGATGGTGCCGATACCCTGGGGATTATATAATCAAACCAACCGTCTCTGCTCAGCCTGGATAAAACCATGCAAAATGAAAAGTATCAGCTTGTTTTCAAACGTCACAAAACCATTCTGAAGAAGCAAACCATGTTGGATGAGTCCAGTGACTGACATGTGTTCCTATGACTTCTCCTACGCCTGCTTCCTGGCATGCCCATCCTGGGACACTGGCGAGCCCGCTCACTGACACTGGCACAGGCCTGTCTGTACAGTCGCCCAAGGATTTTGCTCCCTCAGATCTTCCTGGACTCCTGAACCTGATCAAGATGCACCTGCCTTAGCTTCCACCGTCATGGCGCCGTGTCTCCTTGTCACTGGTAAGTAACTATTTCGCAAGGAGAAGTAGCACTCTTTCAGAGTGGCGGCCCTGCAGCCAGTCTGCCAGGGTGTGCATCCTGGTTCTGCCTTGTGCCAGCTGCATGACCCCTGGGGAGCAACTTCGTGCCTCAGTTTCCTTAGCCATAAAATAAGGACAGTAGTAATACCTACTCCATGGGATTGTGGAAATCATTAATAAACATAAACAAGCTGGAACGGTGTCTGCATAAAGTAAACCCTTAATATCTGTTAACTGCTACTAATGTTGTTATTATTATTATCATCTGATTTCACAGGTGCTTTCAGAAGCTATTACCTTAATTAAAAGAAATCGCTCTACTGAATGAATTTTGCACATCTCGATTAGTTGATGGAGAAGATATTTGAGTAGAGGTGTGATAACACCAGTTTGTCCTTTTAATCATTTCTGTTTAAGGCTCTTCTGCTTTATGAGTGGGTGGGGGGATCTTGGTGTCAGTTAGTTATCTTTTGGAGATTTTCTGCACAGTTTAAAAATATATCTCCTCAAGGATATGTTTTGGATGATCTTTAATAACACAGATACAAAAAGGAGTAGTATACAAATTATTTACTTAGACACCAGTGTTTTCAATATTAACACTGCTGCTGTTGCTGCTACTATTTTATCTTTTATTAACAGCTATCATTTATTGAGTGCTTGCTCTAGCCTAGTCTATGGTAATTCCCTAGTCTTATCATAACCTATGAATTAAGGATTAATTAGTATTCTCATTTCTTTGTTCAGACTCACAGGAAAGTTTAGATGAATGTCTCATCACATAGTGATGCCTGGATTAAATTCTACAGTTTACCCTTAAAGTTTATGCTCTTAGCACTACATTGTTTTATGGAGAAGTCAAAAAGAGAAGCACATTTCTCCTGCTGACAGACTACTACACGTAAGCAGAAGGATGCTATGAGAGAATTCTACATATATGGAAAGAAAGATTTACTTCCTGCAAGTCTGGATAATAAAAGTTGGCTAATATACTTTCTGAAATGATAAACTGATTAAGTTTTAGTGAAAATGAATATTGGGTTGCAAAGAAATAGACACTGCTTAAAATTAAGATAACCGTTCCCTGCCAAAGCAAATTATAATTGACAATTATTTGAAGAGATTTTACACATGTAAATAAAGTAAATCTAAGTGCAAAAAGGTCTCATATGAAAAATATTTCTTTGAAACCTAAACATGCTTTAAGTCCTGAAGTAGTTTGCAGTGTCTTAAATGACTGAGCCCTCAATGATTTTCCATAAATATCTAGAAGAAAAAAAATTTTAGAACATGATTTCTGGATGAAAGATCTGTATATGCATATTTACATTTAAAAATACCTAGACATTTGCTGATGAATTTAGTAGGGTTTTAGATTTGAAAATGGTTTCTTTCTCCTTTCCCCTCCTGCTTGGAAACGAAGAAAGCATTAGGTCATATAAGAAGCCCAAACCGAAGGAGTTAGGGCCTCTACAACACACGTGTATTAATACGAAGAGACTGAGAAGCGTGAGGTACCACCCTGCAGCCTGAGGACTGAGAGGCCACGGCAACTGCAGATTTTTGTCTCTCTTGCTGAAGAGGTATCTTTGCAGTCTCTGGAGAAAGCTCAGGTGGCCGTTTGTGGCTTTCAGGATCCTGTCCTGAAAGGGGAGCTATCTGTATGGAAAGAAATGCTGTGTGTGTCTCAGGCACTGGATTAGGGGTCAGTGAGCAGGGCCTTTTGAGAAATGATGGTACTTCAACAGATTTGGAAAACTGTGGAGTATTAACGGGGCTGCTACTTCCTAGATCCTTGTTATGGGTTAGTTTCAAGGTAGAAATCCTCCGCGTTTGAGAATCTTGCCTGTAGTCCTCTTGTAGAACTGGGGCGTTGATGTTAGTGAATGGTGCAGGATCCGTGCTGGAAGTTGCTGGTAGTGGATTAGTGATTTTTTGTGTATATGACATGGTTGTGTTAGATTCTTCAGAATATACAATTGTCTGTCTCGAATCTTCATTGGAATACATAGTTCCCTGAGGAAGTTTTTTGTTAGCAAAGTACTCTGTATTGGAGGGAATTTGTGTGTTAGTTACTAACTGGTCTAAAATGACACCCTTTGTGTGACTGGTTATCAAAGAGCTATGAAAGCTCTCTTTTCTGTCTGGTGGAGGGGGTGCCTGGATTGACAATGGGATCCAGAGAGAGAAATAAAGTTGAAAGAAAAACAGAGAAAGTCCAAGTTAGTCACGAAATAAACCAGTGTCAACCTTGCCTTTACAGAAGTAAAGCAATGCCACACCTTCTGATTATGCTATCCATTTTGTTAGCTAGATTGAGTGATCATTTTCATTCCCTTTAGAATGCACTTACATTTATTATCAATGTTTGCCCTTAGGGGAAAAAGGTGTTTCCAGAGAATACATTATAACCTTTGCTCCACCTACATTCTGGGAAATTATGTTAAAAGTGAACATGTGTTCTCTTGGCATATTTTTATTAGACTTTGAAATATATATACATATATATATGGTTGGTTTAATAGCATTGTTTTATAACAATTTTCATGCTTGGGGTATAATTTTACTAATATCTCTAACACAGAGCTCCTTTAGTTAATATAATAGTTGCATACTCATAATTATTGAATACATAATGTATTGCTGACCTCATCAGTTTAAATCCAAAGCATCAGCTGTCAGCTTTTAAAGAATTAGAATATATCCTAGAGATTATGTTAGAAACTGATATACTTTTATGAGCTTAATCAGAAACAAAACCAAACCAAACCCTTGTTTGTTAAAATCTGTTCTCCATGTTGTAAATACAAGCCTGGCAAGTAAACTAAATACAAAAGGAAAAACATATTAAAAATAAAACATGTATTGAAATATGCACACTAGGAAAGAAGCTGTAAGCAGTGGTCTTTATAATAATCATGCCTTAAAATAATACAGTAGACAAGAGTGTGCAGGGTTACCTGAGTTGGTGATCTTTTATCTTGTAGGTTTGGTCGAACGCTTCTAAAACCTTTTGCTGCAAGAGAGGAATATGTAGCATCTCCGTTCAGTGTCTCTTGATTGCCATCATTGTAAGATCTCCAAGCTTTCATTAAGGGAAAACAATTGGATACAAAAATATCTACGTTCACTTAAACATTTTTTTTAAAATTTATTTTTATTTCCAAAATTGTAGTGTTCTTAATAGAGGTGTAATTTAATATGCATAACAGTATATGAAATTTAAATTTAACATGAAGTCAGCACATGTGGCTACGAATATGTTTTTTAAAAGTCACAAATAATGTAATAGTTATTCAGAATATTTTTTCTGTACCTGAGTCTGGTGACTGAGAATCACGGCCTGAAAGAAAAAAAAAAATGTTGAAATGAAGACTAAGGTGAAATAAATTAATAACCCAGTAAAAATAACATGGCAAAGAACTATATGCATTATTTTTGCAAACATTATTTCAGTTTTAAAATCTGGGTATGTCAAACATGCCAAAGGGAGGCTTGTACATTTATTCTTACTTCAATTAGACTGTCATTCATTAAATATCTATAATATATAAAATCTATATGGCAAACACTAATTTTTCCTGTCAATGATGTTGTAACATGCAATTTTAATCTTATTATGGCCAAAGATGAATATGTGAATTTCTAAACATCAAATTAAAGGATCAAAAGAGATCTGGTTTATAAACAGCACTAACTCAAACCACCAGATCCTTAACTTTCAATGCCCTGCTGTTGATAAGCATATTTAACTCCTAGGTTAGAGAACTGTACTCTGTAGTTTGCATTTTTTTTTAACCTTAGGAAACTGTAGACCTGTCTACCGTATCATGTGACATTTTCAAATTATTCTCGAGACTGAGTTTTTTTCTTATTGCCATATAAAAGTCATTTTACACTCAAATATGAAAGAGCTATTGCAATATGTTCCACTGTCTTTCAGCTAGTAAGCCGTGGAAAATACATTTCAGTACTAATAAATTGCTTTTGGTAAGGCAGTTGGCAAGTTATCAGTGATATATTTGTTATCAATTTTATTGAAGTTACATATTCCAGAATCTTCTCTATGCAAATTTGAGGTAATCAGTTGGCACATTTAACTCATGTGTATTTGAAGTCATCAGCTTGTGTTGCCTGGTTTATTAAAGCACATGGTCAACTTTACTTAGATTCATTAAGCTTTTAGCCCAACTTGCTGTCCAGTCCTGGATTCCTTCTGCGTGTCCCCAGGACCATTATTAGATTCTCATTTCAATTCATAAAACAGGAACTTTACATGCTGAAAAAGTCTTTGTTTTTCTTTTAATGCTTCAGAACAGTTATTTTCAAGTTTAAACACAAGAATTTAGAATGATAAAAATGGGTTGAGAAATGCAAGCATCTGATTTTTAGATAAAATATTTGATATGGATTCTTTCCAAATCAAAGAAAGAAACACAAATGTGAGTCAGCACAGAGTATATTAGAATGATCCCAGCCCAGGTGAGCCAGAGAAGACTAATAAATTCCCATTCTTTATGATCATTGATAACTGTATGGATTTTATTTTCAATGAATTTAAAATTAGAGTAATAAAATGGATACCATAGAGAAAAATCACTTTGATGAATTATGCATGAAATGCTTATTGGATCCTACTTCTAGAATTTGTACAATTTTTACAATTTTATTTTATTTTTTAAAGATGTGGTCTTGCTATTTTGTCCAGGCTGTCCTTGAAATAGTGGGCTCAAGAGATCCTATAGACTCAGTCTTTTGGTTAGCTGGGGCTACAAGTGTGTGCCACTGGGCCTGGCCCTCCTTCTAGGATTTGATGGAAGCAGAAATGATTGAAATTCTTTACCAGTTATATGATGAAGATAAAGAAAAACACAGTTTGGCAATATAGAGCAATCATCAGAATTCTGTTTTGGGGCACTCAGGAGAGAGATTTAACAACCACGAGGCTGCCATTCACTGTGGACAATGAACAAATTTTGGGATTTGGGAAAGGACAATGAAAAATAAATTTTGGGATTGGGGAAGAGGCAATAAAATCGCCCAAAGCTCCTTTATGAGAAGAGAAGCAGCATTAATAACAATGATTATATTCTGATTATTTTCTTGAGTATAGAGAGTTTCTTTTATGCTTGGTTTGGTAAAACTGAGATAAAAAAGAAGGCGTGCGGTATGTGCTGGGGACGAGGTAATGGGAGCCAGAGGCTTGGAGGTACAAGGGGTGCGGGTGTGGTGAGAAAGAAGAGGGTGTACTGGGCAGGTCTGAAGGACACTAGAAATAAACTCCCTCTAATAGTCTGTAGGGGGCAGGCTCTGTTTCTTCACGCTGGTCACCGTGTTGAAGACGATGGAGCCCCAGGAAATGGTAAGCATGAGAATCAGAGGACAGTCACTCCAGGCTCAACTGTGGGTCTCTTCCTGGGACACTGGGCCCAGGGATTTCCAAATGAATCTGTCCCTGTGCCACTGGAAACATTACAGTAAGAGTGGTGGGCTGTGCTGAAGGGCCTTGCATCACACAGTGGACACGTGTGTGCAGAATTAAGAGAAAGGAGAAAATGGCCATGAATTCGAACTTCAGGATGAACCAATATTTTAATAAAGCCTATGTGGATGATTAAAGCCTGCCTTCAAGTGGGTGGTCTTTCAAGGAGACTAAAGTACATATCATTTGTCTTTCTTTAAAATAAATCCAATTACAGATACTTGGAACACCCAGTCCTGATTTGCTCTTTATTACAGTCTCCTATATGGACACTGTTTAGCATAGCTCTGCTTTTATTTTATCCCTGCAGGAAAGCCTAGGAGAGGGAGAACACCTGTTCTTTGGGGCAGGTAATAGAAAGTATCATGGATCCATGTCAAGTAAAGAGAGCATAGGTTAGGGAAAAAAAAAAAAGTCGGTCAGGTAAATGGCTTGGCAGATGTGTGGGGAAAATGGTTTTCCCCCAAATCTGCAACATTCTTGATGCACATTCACTTGTTAAAAAAAACACAAAGCTAGGACTAGGGGCCTGAGTCCTTCATGTTTAGTGTTCTTTAGTAGATAGTCACTGCTTCACTGATAATCCACTAATGACTAAATGGTGTACGTTTTTCCCTTTCCTGGCTGTTTTGCATGTGAATATTTTAACAAATAGGGTCTTGAAGAATGAACACCTCCACATGCTCTTACCAGCACTTTTCCTTGCATCGAGGCGCAAACTAGTGAGTATCTGTCTGGAATTGTGTGCAAGACATTCCTGGTTCCATGTCAGGGGTGGAACTGAATGCCCTCAATGGCCCTTTCCACTGTTACGATTCTAACATGACAGCTTTTATGTAGCTGTGTTTGTGGTACGTGTTGTAGCATAGCCTCTCCTCTCAGGTTTTATTTAAATCCCTTTTAACTGATGTGCTATACTGACACTATCACTTATACTTTTCTTGAAAATTATTTTGATGCCTATAACTCATTTCTTTAGAAGACTCAAGTGTTTTTCAAGAATTATTTTGAAATGTTGATTAAATTCAAGTCAACTAATTGAGTGCCTACTGTGTTTCTATGTACAAGTATAACCCTTTTCATTTATTTCTTCATTTACTCTCATTTATTCTGACAAATCCTTGTGAGCCTGGGAAACGATTAAGCTTTCAGAGAGGTAAGAAAATGACAAACATTTTTTCTTTTGAAAAAAAGGAAATGAGATCTAGACAGACTAATTTTCTTAAGGGCATAAAACACGCAGGTGGTATTGACAAGACCCTGCCTCTTGGCGGAGTGGTCCCCATACTGCAACAGGCCACTCTTGCCAGCGTTCCTTTAGGCTGCCAAGTGGTTTTGGTGAAATAAAATGTTTTTCATTGTTTCTCAATAGTCATTGTCTTGGTTCTAGCATAGGTTTAAAATATCCATGTGTGCTCTGATGGATTGTCCAGTGGGAATTTACTTCTTATAAAAGGAAAAGAGAAAGACAGAATGACTCAGGGGACGAAGAGGTGATGACTCAGATTGACTCTCTGATCTGAGAAGGGAGTGAAAATGGCCGGGGACCTTTTGTGGAGGTTTTACATAAAGGTCCCCGGCCTTTTGTAACAAATTACAAAATTGTTGTATTTTAACAATATCAAAGGCAATAAATATTTATCAATTCCCTTTTGATTCACATAAAGACACTGTATCATATAAGTTCTTATGAAAGCTACATAGAATGCAGTTGTGCATATTAATGCTGACTTCTTTATTCAAAAATGTAATGGAAACTTCTTTGAAAAAGGGGGCCAGGTGTGGTGGCTCATGCTTGTAATCCCAGCACTTTGGGAGGCCAAGGTGGGCAGATCGCTTGAGGTCAGGAGTTCGAGACCAGCCTGGCCAACGTGGTGAAACCAGGTTTCTACTAAAAAAATACAAAAATTAGCCAGGCATGGTGGCAGACACCTGTAATCCCAGCTACTCAGGAGCCTAAGGCAGGAGAATGCTTGAACCTGGGAGGCAGAGGTTGCAGTGAGCCGAGATCGTGCCACTGCACTGCAGCCTGGAACACACAGCAAGACCCTGCTCATCTCAAAAAAAAAAAAAAAAAAAATCTTACTTTATGTCTAATTGACACAAAAAAAGGCTGTTTTTAAACAATTATGTCCAAAATTCAGTGGACTTCATTCTCTAGAAATCTTACTCCTAGTGATAGAAAACTTAAAATAACCGAAAGCTACATTGTTATTACTGAAGATTATTTCATATTCTTGAAGTGCGAATTATTATTATTTTTTTTTGCTGTTGTAATTTTGAAGCGTTAAATCTTTTCTATTAAGTCGAGTTATATGAAATTGCGTGTATTCAGATAACTCTCCACATTGGCACTGTCGAAGCAGTGTGCCATGCCCTGGCATATGCAGCAAGGTTCACGTCTGAGTAGGCTGGGCGGAGATCCTATTTGGTTGAAATGTCGATGACATTCAGGGTATTGGCATTCCAATTACACGATGGCCCTGAACTCTTAACATTTATTGTCTTACTTGCCTTCCTTCCTGTTTCCCATAGTACCCAATGTAAACACATCTGTAGTTTTTCTAACACCTTTTTGTGTTTATACATGCATGAGCCAATACATACAAATAGAGATTTGTAGAAAGATGTTTTTTAACCAAAATGAGGTCCTACTATAAACCTTGTGCATTTTCTTTTAACTTAATATATAACTGAACTCACTAGCCGGGCATTTAAACTTGGACGTTGAAATCCATTGTGGATTAGAGGTGGTGATGGAAGTGGGATTCTCCATATGGAAGTCCGTTTTTGTTTTTGTTTTTTTTTCTCTAGAGAAACTCAGTAGTTTAGAATTAAGTGACTGTAAAGTGAAGGCCACCCTGAGTATTTAATCAACTGCTAGATGTATGTGTGTAGACGACTGTGATATGAGTAGTGAGAATTACAATTATTTAAAGACTCCCCATCCCTTTCTCACTTCTGCTGTAAGATCCATTAATCTTATAAATAAAAGACAAGCAATCCCCAAACTGCAACTAACCAACCAGCCAACCAACCAACCAGTCACCAACAGGTGTGGGTCTATTTCAGGGTCTGGAGGCACTGGGCTTGCTGGCCTCCCTCCGACCTTCTAACAGCTGCACCCCCTCCCAGTGCAGACTGTGTCTTAGGTACTGTGCCTAACTTTGGTACTGTGCCTTAGGTAGTCACAACAGAGATTTATTATAAAGAGACCACCTGAGTGGATGCTGAAATCTCGCGTCCCCAGTGACTTCCTATCTGTGGGCGCATGTTAATCTTAATTAGTCAAGATTTTGATATGTTTAAAAATATATATTAGAAGGGTCTTTGCTGACTGGATTAAAGGAAAGCAAAGGTGTCTTTCAAAACTAATGTTCTATCATTCTGTTCGTAACCTTTGACAAAGAATCCAGTTAATGAAGATTCAGTTTCCTACAAATCCCTTTTTCATCCTGTACACTTGTACTCCTACCCCAACAGTTTTTAGGTTAAAAAAAAAACAGAAAAACCTCTGAGTTATCTTAATGAAATATTATGTTACTTAAGTTCATGAGATAACAAAAACTTAAATAGTTATTAACACTTGCGGTTACTCAAACTATTTTTGGCAAGTGACTGTTGTTTTTAATTATACATTTGAAATGTTTCCTACAAGATCTCATTTTCCTTTGCTTTTTATGTTTAGAACAAAAACAGTCAGAAGAGCTAGAAGCCATTCAAGTGCGACATTCTGTGAGTTAGTGATATTATACCTGCAGCCAATAGGTTTGGAGAACTTTGCACTCTCTTCACAGATGTTAGCGTAACAGACATGGCGGCACGTTTGCGAGCACACCCACCGCTATCTGGAAGCAAAAAAAATGATATAGCAGAGGCCAAGGCAATGGGAAAAGCACGTGCAGTATCATGCATTTTAAGTGAAATGTGCCAGACATCCATGAGAAAGATGAACAGTTAGAATTAGTAACCATGGAATGCACCTGCCAATTTCACACCACCCTCAAACTAAAACAAACAAAATGAAGCAAAACAAAGGAAGATCAGGGATCTGTCTTAGAAATTGGTGTCACTGTTTTAGTGAAAGCATGGAAGACTTAATACTTAACATTTTATGGTTTTCTTTGTGAAAACTCAGGCACAGAACTCAATCTTGTTTATACCATTTAAATTCAATTTATACTAAATCTATAGGCATTGGAGCTGGCTTTCAGAGTCAAGGATCAGCTCTATGTCAGGATTAAGGGCTACGGTACAACACACTTTTAAGTTAATATCATTTAAGTTTTACCATCTTCTAGCTGTTATAATTCCCAAAGAGAGCTTGAATAATTCTTGCAGTAAAAATTATTAGTGACACAGGTATGATATATTTTTGAGGATTCACAGAGGAACACATGGCATTATGGAAAGTCCATTCTTCCTGTGGTTATTGTTAGTTATGCAAATAACTAGCCTTATTAAAATAAAAGTATTGCTATATATGGTATTGAAATGACCATGTTTAAAGAAAGGAGTATATTGCTTTTACTTTTCAAATTTTTATTTTTAGAGCTAGGTCTTGCTCCATCCCCCAGGCTGGAGTGCATCATAGCTCATTGCCGTCTCAACCTCCTGGGCTCAAGCAATCCTCCTGCCTCAGTCTCCTGAGTAGCTAGGACCACAGGCACACACTGGCTCACGTTTTAACTTTTTGTAGAGACGTGGTCTTGCATGTTCCCCAGGCTGGTCTCAAACTCCCTGGCTCAAGTGCTCTTTTCACCTCGACCTCCCATTACAAGCATGAGCCACCACACCTGGCCTCATTTATTGCTTTTATACTGTTAACAATATGTGTACTATGATTCATATATTTAAACTTATGCAAGTCATAATGTGAAATAAAATCTGTGTAAGTTCATCAGTCATTTTAATGTGCTATGAGAAGTTTAGACTTCTAAATTTGGAAGAGAAGTCTTTTAAAATTGGAAGGCCAATGTTCTATTTATGACCAGATTCAAATTCCACTCTTACATTCCTCTGTAATATGGTATGTGCAATAAATAGTTTTGCTCATTCTCCTCATTCTGCTTATTAAGTAAAACCAAATTAAATTAAATCTTTTTGAAAGTTATAAAAAAAAGACAATATAACCACCGATATAGTAACATAATCATGATATATTGTGACATGTCCATTTTTCCTTTTTCTTTATTTTCATAGGGAAAGTATCAAGTTTGTTTATTGGACATGACAGAATTTAGATGAGTAAAGATGCTTGGAAGGATAATTCAAATGAATTTTTTATAAAATTTGTAAATAGTAAGATTAATAGAACTTAAAATCAGTGGAGTAATTCTTATATCAAAACTTCACTTTTTAAAAGTGTATGTTTAAAGTAACAATTTCTTAATGTAGAAAATCATTAAACCAGAAAACCAACTTGAAAGAATATTAAAAGAAAATGAAGTAAATAAATCAAACATTATAATTAAGAACCCAAAGAAAGTGACACAAATGGTAGAAACAACTGAAGATTCCTTCAGGACAGGTTCCAAAAGGATTTCAGCAAACTCAGCAAACTGAAAGTGCTTAGAGACAAGGGTGTCTGATAAGATGGAGGAAATGTTATTGCTTCCAGGAGCTGTAAACTGGTTAAAATGGTTGTGTAGTCAAAGGTGTTGAAAGTGAAAACGGACATCACTCTAAAAGTGATTTTATTTCCTAGTTCTATTAATTCTGAACATCTAACAAGCACATAGGTGAAAAGAGAAAACTCCAGAATGAGAAGATCCAGGGTCACAGGTTAACCCTCCGGTGTCCACCCTGTGGGCTGAGGTGCCCTGGGCTGCGCCGTGAATCCGCAAGGGTGTTGGGGGACACTTCCTGTTTTGAGGAAAACACTGTGTTAACTGTTGGACACTGGGCTGAGACGCCCTGGGCTGCGCCGTGAATCCGCAAGGGTGTTGGGGGGTATTTCCTGTTTTTAAGGAAAACACAGTGTTAACTGTTGGACACTCGGCTGAGACGCCCTGGGCTGCCCCGGGAATCGCAAGGGTGTTGGGGGACATTTCCTGTTTTGAGGAAAACACAGTGCTAACTGTTAGACGCTCCAGGAATTGCTTGCTTGGGGCAGTGCATGGTTTCAGCGTAATAGATGTGCTGTATTCCTTTTGATGACATCATATTTTTAAAAAACTGGGATTTTGATAGTTGCTGTGATAAAACGCAAGTACCCTCTGAAGAACATTTTATTTATTTATGTTTAGAGACAGGGTCTTGCTCTATTGCCCAGGCTGGAGGGCAGTGACGCACTCGGAGCTCACCAGGCTCAAGCTGATCCTCCTACCTCAGCTTCCCTCATCGCTGGGATTACAGGCACATGCCACCACACCCAGCTAATTTTTAAAAATTTTATAGAGATAGGGTCTCACTATGTTGCCCAGGCTTGTCTCCAACATCTGCAGTCAAGCGATCCTCCTGGCTCAGCCTCCCCAAATGCTGGAATTACAGGCGTGAGCCACTGTGCCTGTCTGGCCTATAAAACATTTTAGATCAGTAAATGAGAGTGGCCATGAACAATCTAATTCTGAGGTCTGAGAAATTTTTCAGTGTGCAACAGGCACACACATATTATTAGTAAGTAATTCGTGTTATAAAAAAGGAAAAAAACTATTTTCTTTCAATTTATGTGTATTATTTTGTCAAATGGCTTCTAAGTTGTTAGAACAAAATATTTCTAAAGTAATTATTAAGTTATTAAGTTGTTAGCACCTAACTACTTAATAAATAGAAGTGTTACGTATTTTTGGCCTAGGAGCACAATGAAAAAATTACTGAGACATTAAAGGTCACTGTAAACCAAGAAAGTTTGGGAATCTTTGCCAATTTATGTACTTTAGGAAGCTCTAAGTCCTAGATGAAATAAATGGAGACTCTGTCTTTAATAAAGTTTAATAAAGAGCTGAATTCTAAAACTCGAGGCATTTGTAAAATTGCTGGAACAGAATAATCTATTATATTCTGTTTCTACTTCCTTATGTATTGATACTTTCTGATACTCCTTGAAGATATTTTTAAGATCTTAAAACGAGGATGCTGCCTTTCATATGTCGGTTTATCCTAAAGAATCCTAATGCTGGTTTTGCCTTCGGTCCTCATTAATGACCTACAGCCTGGCTGGGCTACTCTTCCCCTGAGCTGCAAGATTCCTGGAAGCTGTTCCTACTGCTGGAAACCACTCATATGGGTAAATTATACATGGAGAATTATTTGATGTCTTTCCTTCTCTCCTTTCTTTGATAGCTAAGATAGGCCTAAGAAAGTAATGGGTTGAAAATTCTAAAAGTGGACATATAACATGTTTTCTATATTTTTTCTACATTGTTTAAACACTTCAGTATGAAAAATTAACCGCATTCCCCATGGCTAGTTTATTATGTACTGATTAAAAGCAAATACTTAAAAGAATGCTTTTTAACCTTAGTGACTGACACATGAAGATTTAAATAGGAATATATCTTTTTAATAATTGATATATTGGATAGATATATGAATCAAGAAAGAGATATATTCTTGTTTAAATGAATATTGATATCAATAAGACTGGCCTGTATCATCTTATCTATATAATCTATTTGCGTTATCTATCCATATATTATCTGCATTACCTATCTATTTATCGATATTTTCTATCAATAGATAGAAAGATAGATAGACAAAAAAGAAGAAGAACTAGAAGCTATTTTGGGGACTAGAGAAATAACTTGTGGGGCCACTTTATTCATCTCTGTCTGTCTGTCTGTCTATCTATCTATCTATCTATCTATCTATCTATCTATCTATCTATCTATCAATCTATCATCTGCCTATCTGAAGATAGATAATGCAGGCCAGTTTTTTTACTAGCTCTTTAGGAACAAATTCCTACTTCATTTTGTAAACACAGTAACAATGCTTTCAAATTTCAAAGGCAATATATGTGTGTATACATATACATATATATTTAAAAGTGGTATGTTTTTGTAAAAACATTGTAATTATTATTTTGGAATTTTGAGCAAAAGTTTTCAGTCACTTTTGATCAATTTTATGCACAGGTTTGAATACCATATTTGCCAATCATTATACATAAGTGGAAGTTCATCCACATAAGCGAAATAACCCTATGCAAACTGCATCCCATCCAGAGTCAAGCTCACTCCTTAGAAATGAGAAGATACTTTAGAGGGTTACATTTGTGCTGCTAAACAGTAACTTGGCTCAAGTACCTTAGTGACTGAAACAAATTGGCAAATTTTTATGTGCTTACTTTGCTATGAGGGATTGAATTATATGAATAGGAAGGTCAATTATTGAATGTACTGCACATGAACACAGTATATTCAGTATATCATGTATGCATATCTCTGTCATAATAGGGTTATAATAAATAGGAAAATGGGCACTCAGTAAAATGAGGAATACTGGGAAGTTATGATCCACTTACGTCTATAGGGAGATGTCTTGGAAGGATCAGGAAAGATCACTTCCTCATGTGAAACTTCTGCTGGAGTGACTTTGTAGCTCCAAAACGTGGCTGATGCTAATCCAGCTGTGGGCTCTACATTCTATTTGCTTTCTTTTGTCTCCTTTACCTAGTACTATTTTCTACTTCATTCTCCATGTCTAATTCTGGCATCTCCAATCATCAAGATGCCTTTGTGTGGTGCATTTGCAGGGTTACAACTTCTCTTGATTGCTGAGCCTTCCGTGTGTGTTTTGACTGTCTCCAGTATCCTCATCTTGCCTGTTGTCCACTTGTGTGCAAGGTGACAGCATCCTCAGGAGCCTGCCCACACAGCCTTCTCTTGAGGCCACTATGGTACATGGCACATGGCACAAGGCTCTGCGCTCAACCTGGGGATTAGGTATTGGTCCTCGCCAGTGGTTGGGTAATCCTCCTGTAGGCACTTTGATGCAACAAGAGACCTCAAAAAGGCAACCAGCTGGACATAAGAGAATATCTTGGGCCATCCTTTCTACTCTGCCATGGGGTGACAGCTCCAACAACTTTCCAGTGATCTCTTGTGGATAGGAAATTTCAACACAAGTTACAAAATCTCAATGAGAAAGTTGTTTCTTGAATTATTTAATATTGTATATTTCAAGGAGGGGGAAGGCAAAATTATAAGCCAAATTATGTCTACTGTGGAAAAAAGTTCATATGTACAAAGTCTGTATCATGAACACTTTTACAGTTAAAATGTATATAATACAGTTTAGAGGCACAGTTGTTAAGCTAGTTGGAGATACTATTCTCATATCTACACATATAATGCTTATAACACTATGTGAATTGTGACTATAGGTTAATTAAGCTGACTTTGTATAAAACTTTGGCACTCTCTCTGCTGACTTCTTCAACATAAAGAGTTTATAAAACAGATACGTTTAAGTAGTTTCTACTAGAGCAACGTGCCTTTGAATTTAGCCTATTTTTAAGTGAGAGATTTCAAAAGTACACAAACAAATGACATACTACCTATTCCAATTGTTTAGAAGAGTTCGTTTTAACATGTGATTAGAGACAAAGGGAGTAGGAGCAAGTAACAGAACAGAAAATTCTATGTTTGGTGGCCATAAGAGTGGAGCACAAATACAAAGAGAGAAAGTAATGAATCTACGCTACGTATCTAATCAGAAACTCAGAATCACACCTACGATCAGTGGAGCGCTAAGCTAATGATTGAGGGCCAACATGATTTTTAGAGAGCAAGGCTCAAAGAGTTGAAAACTAACAGACAGCATACCTGTGTTCATTTTGACCTTGGAGAGTTTGTTATTAAAGTCTTCAGTTTTCCTGTAGAAAAAAAAGGTGCATAATTTGTTCGCTAGCATGTGAAGAAAATATCATGAAAGCGTGTCTTGCTTTTGATGTACCTGTAAGTTAATATCACATTATCATTAGTTTTATTTAAATCAGTGTTTAATAAGGTAGGAAGAATTGATAATTTTCTTCATGTTAAACTTTAATTATTGGTCCTATGATCATAAAACAGATCATATTCTGTTTTTATGCTTTTGCTTTATGGTGAGCATTAATGGATGAAAATGGAGTTTTGTGCTTGTTTGTTTCTTTTTCTTTTTCTTTTCTTTTTCTTTTTTTTTTTTTGAGACGGAGTCCCTCACTGTCACCCAGGCAGGAGTGCAGTGGTGTGATCTTGGCTCACTGCAACCTCCACCTCCTGGGTTCAAGCAATTCCCCTGCTTCAGCCTCCTGAGTAGCTGCGATTACAGGCACATGCCACCATACCCAGCTCATTTTTTGTATTTTTAGTGGAGATGGGGTTTCACTATATTGGCCAGGCTAGTCTTGACCTCTTGACCTCTTGATCCACCTGATTCGGACTCCCAAAGTGCTGGGATTACAGGCGTGAGTCACCTTGCCTGGCCTGTTTGTTTCTTTTTCAATGAGAGAGGGTTGTGCTCTGTTACCCAGGCTGGAGTGCAGCTGGTGTGATCATAGCTCACTGCAGCCTTAATCTCCCGGACTCAAGCCATCCTTCCCCCTGGAATTACAGGTGTGAGCCACCGTGCCTGATTGAGTTTTCTTTTTAAAAAATTAAATTTCTTTTAAAAATATTTATACAGATGGTCGTTGTTCTCTAAGCCTGAAATGACTATCTGTTAAGTGTAATCTTCTGGAGTTTTAAAAGTTACCCTGGCGCTTTAAAATCATTGCCTTACATGTGCTGGTCTATTTACTACCGGGAATATGTAATGAAAGTAACACATATTTTGAGGGCACTGTCAAGAAAGATGAGATTCATCTGTCTCTTTTTTTAAGACACAGGAAATAGATGGTTACTACAAAACCCATTTCTGCATTAGTATTGAACACTGATTTTTCCCAGTGAAATGCTGGATGCATAGCAATTGAGATTAATTCACTAGAAATGGTTGGCAGCAAGGGCTTGTCTCAGAAAAACGTTTTAAATATTATGTATCGTTTTACGACATGTGAGATGACTTAGTTCTTTCTCTGGTATATTCTCTTAGTCCATTTATGGAGTTTCCTATTTATCCATACTCTGAGACCAAAGAGGAAACACATGCTGATAAGGAAGCAAATCTCCTAAGTCTCAGAGCTCCCTGCAAGAGCCGTCTGACCCCGGCCACTTGGCCTTTGCTCCTGAGTGGGCCTGTTGTTCAGGATCCACGAGAATCTCCCCCAGCACGACACACTCACAGCTTCCAGGAGCATTAGTACTGCAACATCTGACCATTTTCAAGACTTTTATTTATTCCTTTTGGATGAATGAGGATAACTTTGAAAAGAAATCATTGGCATGATCACCTGTCATGAAAGACTTTTCATAAATATAGTTTTTTCAGTCTCTAAAAAGAGCAGCAAATGAGCTTCCTGGCTTTCTTGCCTTTGTCTGCCAAGGTTCTCACCCTCTTCTCCTTTCTGACCATTTCCTCTGCTCAATTCGACAACTATTATTTTCTTTCAATGTGGCTATCTGATTCACCTCTTATGGAAAGCCTGACTTTGTTCATTAGTGAGGTAAAATTATAATAATAAAATCAAAATGTGAATTTTAGCTAAATATAATGGTACCTCTCTCCCAGTTGGGGGGAAAATGATGAAATAAAATAACATTAAAAATATACTTAAGTCCTATGAAATATAATTATAAAGCAAGATTTTATATATAGATACATATATGTATAATGTAATCCTCATTTTGCTATATACACATGTATATGTACACACACACATACATATATTTGCCTAGATTGAATTACTAATACCTTAGGACTCAATAAATGCTAAATTAATAAACATTTAAAATGGGCAAAATCACAGTACTGATAATCACCTCAATATATGTTTTTAGAGCTCTAAGCTGAAAACAATATAGATGATATCCTTGCTATGTGGTGTTTAATTTTTGTGTAGTCTGTGTTCAGTGTCATATCCTTGCCCGTCTGCCCGAGGCATCGTTGCAGTGTTGGGATTAGGGCAGGAGCCATGCTTAGTGTGGCCAGGCCAGAACTGAGTTTTCACAGGGTTACGGGGAACTTCACAGTGACATGTCATAGGCCAACAGACTCTGAAAAATGATGGAGGGAAATTTTATGATGATAAATTTTATCTCCTATTTTTCAGTGTATGCAACTAAACAGGCACATTTCTGTTTTACTTTGTTGTTTTGTTTTTCTCCAGAATTACACGGAAAAATGTGGCATATTTCTAAAGACTCAACTTGGTCGCCTTAAGACCGCCTATATTGAGGGATACCGATGAGGTCAGGGAAGAGGGCAGTGGTCAGCACAGGAGCTTTGGGAAAGCTCCTTCAAACATATTTATTTTCATCTCTCGGTAGCAAAACTCCTAATATGTTAACCTTAAATGGACAAAATAAATGGAAAAGAAAGGCCTCAGGGGATGTCTGTGACTGAGACTGAGGCAACTTCTAAAACCAGAAGGGATAAACAACCTCCAGAAAATACGGATTATAAGGACCTTTCCCAAATTCGACTTCGTCATTCCTTTTGAAACCAGGCGACGCTGTGCTTAAAACTGCTTAAAGTTTTACAACTGAATGAGGAAGACAGTATTTGGACTAGAATAATAGTGATTGACAAAGACAACATCAAATACAGAAGGTTAACTCTCAGAATACAAAATCTGCTGATATACTGTAATAATGTTTTTGTACCAAGTTGCAGAACTAGTTATCAACATCTATTGTTTGAATTCAAATGCCAATATTTACAGAACATCTAACACTGAAAAAGTAAAATAGGATTAACAAGAACAAAGAAAGGCGCCACAAATCCTTGAGGTTTTCATCTTTAAAGTGATGTATCCTGTTACTTATAAATGTAATTTGTGAGGTTTTTCAACTTCCCATTGTTTTCGATGTCAAAATGTGAAATGACTAACTTCCTAATTAAGCAAGACATTTTCCAAGTCGTTAAAAGAAGAACCCCAGTGACTGAGCTCTCAAGAAGAACCTGAAACCGAAAGGCTTCTTGGATGACTAATAAAAATGCATGATTCTATTTCCATTATTTGTGCTAAGTCCATTAACAAATCCACGACTGAGAACTCTCTTTAGACAGTTCAAACTAAAGCGAATCTAATCTCTTTTGTTCTGCTCTGAAAAAGTGTCCTTGATTGTACTTACATAACAAGCACAGATTATTCTGGAAAGCATCAAATTCCTAGAGTCTTTGCATGCTACTAGAAAACAGTATTTCAAGTATTCTCTTCACTTGGAATTGAACCAGGGACGAGACTATGAGAACTGACCATAACATGGTCATGAGCCTTAGCAGATGGTCCATGGAGCAAAGAACTCTCCGAACATGAAGGGATCACATGATTTTCAATAGGTACTAGGGGGTTGTATTTACTTTTGTCAAAGTTCCATATAAAAAGCAACTTCATATGTGTCCTAATTTGTGACAACAATGGATTTGTTTTACTTACGGGTTAGAGTAGCCTCCACTGCCAAAACACATATGGCAATAGACTGTGTTGATTGTTTGTGGAAGGGCTGTTAACAGCATGACTTCGGATCTATAGTCTTTTAATTCTGCTTGAATTTCTTTTTTATCTTTTCCTTTTTTTTTTTTTTTTTTTTT